CACAGTTCTGCCCATCTAACCTTGTGCTTCGTGCTGAGTTCACGCCCAACACGTTCATAGCCCTGAAGAATGGGAAATTACGATCACAAGTTACTCCTCATCAATAGCTTTCATACAAATAGTACCTTATCTGTATCAGTGAGCCTCAGATGTTTCTCAGAGCTAATCCATGCAGTGAAAAACTCTGCTGCTTTCTTTTCGCTACCAAATGGACCAGCATAGGCAGCCAACTTGAAATCTGGCAAGATAGGCGAACAAACCCCGTTGACCTAAAGATTGAAAGATTTGAAAATCGCGGGTTTGAGTGCAAAGAACTCACATCATTACATAGAGTTGGCTCTGGAAAACTCTCTGTCTGAATAACTTTCGGTGGTATGCTGTTATCGGTCGAGCGGTATAGTGCGACGAAAAAGCCTCCAAGTAAAAGTTCCATTTCAGCTTTTCGTTCCCGTTTGTCACTTCCTGTATAACGGGCACAAGCGACTTCCAAAGCGGTTTGTCCCTCTCTGGAAGCAGTCAGATGAGAACGCATGAAGGAGAGATGTAGTTCGCGTACTTGTTCAAGAAGTGCCTATCCAGTAATGGTTGGCCTACCAGTGCTCTAACAACCTCGACATGCCCAAACTTAGCAGCAATGTGGAGGGGAGTATCGCAATTTCCCTAAAATTTAATGTGATTCTAATAGTTTGGTGAACCTTTCTGGTAAAGACAGCAGAAAAAACCTAAAGCGTACCTTGTCAGGAGTATTTAGATATGATGCAATGATATTTTCTGCACGAAACCGCGCATCGTCCTCAGAAGTACCGTAAAGATCGGCTAAGAACGCTGTATCACCAACAAGCTGCAAGATTTTCTCCACCACGTCAACCTTCCCATGACGAGCAGCAATATGGAGTGCATTGAACCGAAATCCCTCCTAGAAACAATGATATTACTGAATTTTTCATCACCAGGATTTAAAGTGGAGATGGCGTGATAACACTTGAAGTACCAAATCCAAGAACTGGTCGAAAATGTAATTGAAACCACATGATGT